CGAGATGACAAATGAGAGCAGCACAACTTGTTTCAGCAGAGACCGCTCTCACGTCTATGGAGTACGAGACGACGGTTTAGAAAACACCGTTCCTTACATATCTGAGCTGGTGGGAGGTTTCCATCTCTTCTACGTGCAAATAATGAGTTCCACGATCTTTAGCAGGTCTCCACTGATCTGGTTCCCGTGACAAATGCGACAGATCCCTCTTATTTATCAGTTACTTTAGCCTCCAAACAAATCAGATCGGCTACGCCATGTTTATTCTTACAGTTGTAAAATGTCTACGATAAGTTGTAGTCTAATTGGCGAGTCGTGTCTATCCTACAATATGCAGTTCACTTATATGCTCATTCTTTCAAATCCATTAGATCTGTTCTGCATACCAGTTAACAAACAATTAATATATTAGACTATTTGTAGGACGCCGGACTCATCTGCCACATTTCATGGCATTTAACAAACTCAGTTAAAATAAGGTGACTTGCTTTTATCATTATCGAACTGCGATATTACCTTTCCCAGACAGGTCATCAGATGAGAGTTTTAATGAGGGAGACAAATAGTGCTGCCCTGTCGAAGGTACTGTAGCGGTAGCCCCTGCCCCTTTCGTCCTTACCGTGGCAGGATTCACCACAAGACGTGCAGCAGCAGGTTCACTTGCTGCTGGCATCCAGTCGGTGGTGTATGGAAGTACAGTGGCCTCGACAAGTGTGTTTGCTGGGCTTCAGAGCGTTGGAGCTGCCGGTTTAGGCGCGACCGCAGCAAGTGCTGTTTTCACAGGTGGTGCAGGAAAGGCTGCTTGGATCAAGAACAAGATGCCTCCGTGTAACGATGAACCAAAATGTTCATCAGACGAACAATAATTAACTTCGCAATGGAAAGGTTTCTCATGAGGAGAGACTTGTGACGCTTATTACACTGCATCCTTATCTACATCTGTTCTTTATAGGTTAACTGAGAAAAAAATAGTTTAGTTGTCGCAGAGCCAACTCTGAAAAGTGTGACTTTGAAGATACACTTCCCACTGCAATTTGTTAAGACATTCAGTTCACTGTATACATTGTATCCTTCTCTTAAGGTTAAATCCGTTAGGCATATATGTACCATACGGTGGAAGTTTTGTCCATATACACCTCTTTCGATAGGTAGAAACCAATTTTCCCAACAAATTGTGCCGCTGAGACTGTAGTTCATGGAGCTGTAAGTGAATGGTCCAGGCAGAATTTACTTCCTTACCAACGCTTATGTTGTCATGTTATGTTACACCTAGCTTGTTCACCTTTAACCTGTTAGAATTCTAAGAACAGTTTTGTTCTATTCAAACATATATTCTTGATTGCAATATTGTGAGTCTTACGTTTTATCGCAAATCTGCAGACTATAGTGTAGCCAGTCGGTCTGTAAATCTGCATACATGTATATGAAGG